TATATTAGGTTTGGGCTTGAAAGCCTGTGGGTCTTGGGCTGGTTCAATGGCCCAAAGGCCTGTCTCACTTGGGTTCTCAAATGGGCTGGGCTTGAAGGCCCGACCCTATTCCTTTAGGTTTTAAAACAAAATAAACAAAATAAAAATAAAAGGTTTAGGTTGGGTTGGAGAGTTTAGGCCGAAAGGTCCTAGGACCAAAGGCCTAAATTTCCAAAAGGGTTTTCGGTTAGGCTTTAAAGGATTGGGTTTAGTTTTCAACGGCTGAATGCCCTAATTTGTTCGGCCCAAGGGCCTGGGTTTACTGAACTGTGGGTTGCTAGACCCATTCAAAAGAGAAGGCCGGAATTCAGCCAAAAATTAGACAAACTTTAAACGTTAATAAATTTGTCAATACTCAACGAATTCGAGTGAAACAAAAATGAATGTTGTAGTTCTCGACGAGATGAAGAGAATGGTACCTTGCATGATGTCTAACTCGCCGTGGTTTGGCCGAAAAATTCCTCGAAAGATGCGGAGGTCACCAGAAATTAGGTAAGATTCAAATGAATATAACTTCTTCAATACTCAATGAAATTGGGTGAAACAAAAAGGAAATTTGTAGTACTCAGCAAGGGGAAGAGATTGATACCTTTCATACCGGCCAACTCGCCATGGTTTGGCCGAAAATTGGCTCGAAAGTCGTCGGTTTCTCGCTAGAAACTGGATTTGAGTTTCCAGGGATGTTTCCTACACCAAACGTCTTGGAAAAACTACAAATACAACCCAAAGTAAGATCCAAGAAGTTTTGGGTGATTCTCAGGACTTACCATCATCGGAAATCCAAAAAGTCGTTGGAAAAAGAGATGCACAGTGGCAACTCCACAGCACCAAAAGAACAGGGAGGTTTTGGGTGTGCTCCAACCTTGCTTCAAGTTTTGTGGATCGCACGGGAAGGTTTGGGTGGGGGTGGATGAGGTGGTGACTGTCAATGCGTATGTATGTGCGATGATTCTCAGGGAGGGAATGAGAGAGTTGCAGAGAAAGGGAGAGAGGGGACTCACAGGTCCAAAGGAAAAGTGAAGAAAGAGGGCTAGGTAGGGGAGACCAAAAAGGAAAGGGAGCCCCACGAGCACACACATTAAGACCCAAAAACAATTTAAAAAAAAACCAAAACTATTTTAAAAATCGGGCGTGGGGTGGAACATTAGAGCAATTCCACCGTGGGAAATGCCCTCCCAGGCTATTCACTATTTAATCCACCTAGTGAACAATATCTACCTTTTGCATCTTCACCCCTACACTGCCCTGGCAAAAAGTAATAAAATATTAGTATTTTATTTATTTATAAATAAAAAATAATTTCATTTGTAATTTCGGATAAGATTTTTAATCGTCCTCGTTGTGCCACGTGTCACTATCCGAAAAGACAATTATTGGTGATGGATTTCGATAAGATTTTTATCCAATGCACTCGTGCCACGTGTTGGTACCTTTTCATAATCGTTGAGGATAGATTTCCGATAAGATTTTTAATCAATTACGTCGTGCCACGTGTCATAATATGTTTACAATTTTTTAGGATAGATTTCGATAGATTTTTAACGAATGATGACATGCCACGTGGCATTATCTACAACCTAATCATTTCTGAATCCTCCATATAATCCACCATCCATCCTTAGAAATCTCACACCAATTTTCTGAATATCTCTATCATTATTCATAGTTTCTGCTTCCTTCTTCACCAAAATCAAAATTTGTATCATTATTAATATGCATCAATTTTCTAAAGATCTCTATCATTATTCAAAATCTGTATCATTATTCATAATTTCTGCTTTTTTCCAATTAAAAAAAGTACTTTATTCATCATCACTTGACCAATTTATGGTGCTAGGATGATCTTCTCTTGTCGTGCTAGGATCATCTCTACTTGCTCTCGCTTCTCTTGCACACCTCATTCGCACCACGTCCACTTTCTCCGACTTCCAAAAATATTTAGAATTTGGAGACTTCCCTTCTAAAGGCGTGTTCATAATGTCACGATCTCGTTGAGCCACTCTTTCTTCTCTAACAAGTTCCCTTTCTTGCCTAATTAGCTCTTTTTCTCTATCATTAGCTTGAAATGCTCTCTTAACAGCTGCAACTTTTGCTTCCTCTCTAGCCTTATCAGCCTCAAATTTCTCCATTTCCTGCACCAAAGTCAATTCACCTTGGCGAGCAAGTTCTTCCATATACTTTGCATAATCATTCTTGGAAGCACTCCCTTTTCTCTTTGAAGCCTTCTTAACTTGAGGCCTAATTGGATAACGGGTTCACCCCGACGCTTGTTCAGGGGGGCATTTCGGGCACTTCTTCTGCGTCATCTTCATGAACATGTGAGGCATGATTGGGTGTAGAGTGTAGAGGGGTGTTGTTCATGAAAACTTTTGGACCGACAGACACAACTTTGAATTCAAGACAATCTTTGACAATATTCCAACATTCCCACCAGTTGAATGATTTGTTTTTGCTTTTGGTTTTGTCATTATACCAAGCTTGTACTTGAAATTCCTACACAATGCAGGAGAAGAAATAATTATAATGAAAGTAAGTAACAAATAAATAATATAAGAAATAATTATAATGAAAGTAGGTAACAAATAAATAATACAAACAAAGAATTATAATGAAAGTAAGTAACAAATAAATAATACAAACAAATAATTATAATGTAAATTTGGGTATAGTACAAACAAATAAATAATATATTGTTACCTGATCTGCTAAATTTTCCACACTTCGAAGATTACTACTAGCTTGTGCCAAGGCGTCTCTCCATGTACTAAATGATTGGCTAAGTAATTTCCAACAACTAGACATCGATTCTTTGGTTCTTTTCCCACCAATTTTCTCAAGAAAATTGGTATGAATAAGACTCCACATTTCTCACAACTACATCTCATTACCCGTAAGAGGATCATGAGTAACTTCAACCCAGCTAGTACACAATGCAACATCTTCAATAAGCGTCCAATTCGTATCTGCATCAGTAGTCATTTTGTTGAAAAAAAATGGATTGAAACTTTGAGAGAAAGATAGGAATGTGGTTGAAAGTAGTTGAGAAAATATGAAATTGTGGTGTAAGGTAGAAGATAATGAGAAAGTATTTATTGAAAAGTAAAATCAATTTTTTTTAAAAAAATTCAAAATTTTTTTTCTTCTGATTTTTATTAATTTTTTACATTTTTTTTAATTTTTATTCACCCAATTAATCTCTGCCGTTGGATTAAAAAAATTTGAATTCCAACACTCCAGATTGTGCCACGTGGCACAATAGTAAGATTTTTTATTTTTAAACTGTTTTTTTTTATTTATAAAGGTGAATAACGTGGATCGTTGATCTCAGATTCAACGGTTGAAATTAAATAAGGTTTTTAAATTATTATTACTGTTGGATATCCAACAGTATAAAACAAATAACCATTGAGATCCAACGGACATCGAGGCACCACATGGCCTCCAACGGTCACTGACGAAGGCCTGCGCACGTGGGCCCCAGCGATTGACGCAAAACGTGGCTGACGTCAGGGCGACGTCAGCCTTGCATCAAACCCACTCCAGGCTCTCGGGCTGGCAATTCTCCACGGGCCTCTCCCTCAGGCCTGCTCGGGCTTGCTCGCCAGCACATACTGGGTTTCATCACTCGGGTTCTTTGGCCCTGTTCCTGTGCCTGTCCCTCAGGCTGGAGCACATGGTGGAAGTGCTCTTAATGCTTGCAGCTAAAGCAACGGGCGGTTTCAAGTTTCAACGTTGGTTTTAAATTATGCTTTCCAAACTATAAACTTATTCAATAAGCGTAGATAAATTTCTTCCAGATGCAATGTCTCTGATCCACTTGTCGTTATCGTTATGATAATCCCAAATTTTACTAAAATCACTAGCTGTAATACCGTGTAATTAGAATTAATTATTTAATTATACGATTATTAGGATTAGGAAACGCCGAGTTAATTACATACTCAAATTTCCTGGGGAATTCGTAGAGCTAGTCTTACTGGAGCTGAGTCAAACTAGCACGGCTGTAACCTGTAATCGAGCACTGCGACTCTCCGGTCAATTATAAACAAACAAAACCCCGCCCACTTGATCAAAACTTGACCCGTATCTCAGCGGATCATTCAACGACATGTCAAACTTGTATCTGTATACACAACAAATTAGAAATTAAAAACACAAACTAAAGGCAAGCAAGTGAGAAATGTTCTATGCCTTGTAAAAAAATGTAATGAGTAAATTGGTGATTTGGTTCCTGAATTGTTAGTTAAGTAAAAATTAGGTATTTCAATTTTTTCTTTTCAAAAGAATTTTGAAATTCATTAAAAGTTGTCAATTTTCCTATTGCTCATATATTCGAAGCTATTATATCCAATTAACTGTCAATTTAAGCAACATGAGTTTCATGTGACGCATTTTGAATGATAGATTGATAGCTTATAATAAGTTTAATAACTTTTTCAACCAAAGCAAAAAAATTGGTGGAGAGTTTAACTTTGGAGAGAAACTTGGCAATTAGATTTAAAACTTATATGCAACGTTAAGGGTTTAAGATTGAGAAATGACGTTACGATCTCTTAAGTGTGTCACGTGACAAAAATTTATAATGGATTAGATGAAAAATCTTTAAATCTATCATCTAGAAGAAAATTGACAATTTTAAAGAATTTCAAAAAATGAAATTCCCCAAAAACATTAGTCTAAAACTTAATTGTAACTATAGTAATAATTCAAGACGAAGTCCACACTTTACACTTTGTTTTATGTTTTGGTCAATTAGAATTTGTTTTTTTAATTATTCTTAGCTGGGTTGATTTTGATGGGTCACGTAAGGCACATGTTGAAAATTAAAAGCATTAAAAGCACAGGGGATTGCGTTAGAGGGTGGCATCTTCCTTTTTCTTTTCGGTCAAGTGGGGTGGCTTCTAGTAAAGCATAAAGAATACTGTTCAGACAATTTTGTGTATAAAAAGCAGGAAAGGCAGTGGTTTGGCATCAAAACTCCTTCATACACAGATTCACTTGAATACAAAGAAACCAAATTTCTCACCCTCCTCTCCTGCATTTTCCTTCTTATCGTGCCATTTTTGGTACTAGTTGAATTTGTGGAAATAAATTAAACAAAATCTGGTGTTGATCTAATGGAGACCATGATGGGTCTGCTGAGGATTCATGTCCAAAGAGGATTGAACCTTGCTGTTCGAGACCTGACAAGCAGTGATCCTTATGTTGTTGTTAAAATGGGCAAGCAGGTAATATATTCATTTTGCTAGCTTCCTTCAATTTACTAGCTTTTTTGTGTGTTTCTTTTTTTGTTTTGATGCATTTCTTGATCCATTTGGGTTTCTGGCTTTTGGTTGTATGTTTCTGAAAATTTAGGTTTTAGATGACATGTTAGAACTACACGGGGTGGGGGGAACCGAAGTTTGGTGCGGAGGGTGGATCACGCTATTGTAGTCAACTTAATTTGGTAAACTTATATATGCATATAGTACTTGATAGCTTATTAATTAAACCTATTTTTGATGATGCAGAAACTGAAAACTCGTGTAGTGAAGAGGAATGTGAATCCAGAATGGGATGAAAGATTGACACTTTCAGTTACAGAACCAAATCTTCCGATCACGCTTTCTGTGTACGATAAAGATACATTTAGTTTTGATGACAAAATGGGGGACGCAGAGTTTGATATTGCACTATTTATCAAAGTCTTGAGGATGCAATTGGCAGGTCTACCAGATGGAACCGTACTTACAAAAGTACAACCAAGCAGGGAAAATTGCCTTGCTGAAGAGAGCTGCATTATCTGGTCCAACGGCAAACTCGTTCAAAACATGATCCTCCGACTCAGAAATGTGGAGTGTGGGGAGGTTGAACTCCAGTTGCAGTGGATTGATGTTCCTAGTTCTAGGGGTCTGTAGATTGTAGATTGCAATTGCTCTCTCTCTCTCTCTCTCTCTCTCTCTCTCTCTCTCTCTCTCTCTCTCTCTCTCTCCATGTATACAGTTGGATTTGGTGGCCTGGCTTATTCAATTCTTTTGTTCATAAAGATGTGAAATGGAGTGATCGGTTTTTATGAGTTTTATCCTCCCAGGTATTGGTATCAATCATTTGGGATGCGAGAGTCGTTTGAACACCTTCATTTTTTTTACAATTTTAATCAATAAATTCATTTCTTATTTGTACTAATCATACAATATTTTCTTATGTAAACAAATTATTGTGTGAAGTTGTTGATTCAAAAAATTGGATTCTACCATTCTTAATAGAAGAAAATTTGTTATTATAGATGTGTGGGTTGTGGTGGACCAAGTCCGTGGGATATCGATATGCAAGCACGAGGTCGAACTTACAAAGTTGGAAAAAGTAGGAACTAGGAAGGACCATAATTTGTATAATTTCTTTCAAATAGATGAGTCTCACATAACATCTACTAGAAGAGATGGTTCAAATAGGTTGTAAGTGTATCATTACTAAAAATAAAAATAAAAAATTAACCTCACTCAAATTAATTCAACACAAACCTAGTTGAGAAAAGTGAATTTGGTTTAAGAATACTAAATTGAGCATGCAACTGATTAAGCAAGAGAATAAATTTAGAGTTAACCAATGTAAGAAATATTGGAGTAATGTTATTCATACTATGTTTTTGTACCACATTTTTCATACCATCTTAGATGGCATTTGATGTGGACATCCACATCATTTAAATTAATCAGATTTTTTTAATTTAGTTCATTATTTAATAAACTAATAATTAATAAAAACTAATTAATTAAATGATGATTGTGGTATATGAGAAGTCTTTTTCCTTCATTTCCTTAGGTTTTGCAAATTTTTCTAATGATGTGGCTGTCTACATCAAATGTCACCTAAGGTGGTATAGAAATGTGGTATAAAAACATGGTATGAAAAACATTGGGGTTTCAAATTCAAAAGTGTTATTCATCATCTATTTGTACCATCATTTGTACATATTACTCTAATAGATAGGATCCACATGTGTTGGTGGGCTTTATCTTTATTAGAGAGAGAGTACAAATGATGATACAAATAAATGATAAGTATAACACTTCTCTTTCGAATTCCACAACCATTAATCAATAGTATAGAACCCTAATTATTCACCTACCAATTCTTATGTCAATCTTCTCCGCTTAACAAGCACAACACCAAAGCAACCTATGTATCCAATTCTTTATACCAGATTTTGCATTATCAACCATATCTTTGGAGCTGTTAGATTAAAAGAAGATCTAGATGACTTCAGGCATGCGTTCCTGATTTCAGTTGAGTTGTTAGGAGTCAGCCTAGAAAAGAAACTGTGAATTTCGGCCCAGTAGTACATTGCTGGTGGCGTGATTGAGTTCTAGACAAAGTAGAATTGCTTGAGGATCAGAATTAGATTCTGGATGAATGACCATGATTGGCGTCTGGATGAAATTTGAACTAATCGCATAATTAGTTTAGGTTCAGAATCATAGTTCGAGTCGAAGAAGGTGAAACTCGGTGGTGATAGAGTTTTGGTGGAAGAATCATTTGTGAGGAAATTGAGGATAATTCTAAGTATATCAAGATAATATTCCAAGGATTTGCAATACTATCAGACTCTACAACTTGAACATTCAGTAATTTATTCCTATAAATGCAAGAGTGTTGGCAACATAGAGAGGACCTTCAACTCGACACACAAATCAAGGCTTTACGTGAAATCCTTTTACACCTTTTGTGAAAACTAACTGATTCATGAACCATCAACACGAATTTCGATTGGATAGGTGAGTTTGGGTTTGCTGTCAATGGACGACAACCAGCTGGGTGAATGAGTTTTTAAGAAGCAACAAGTGAAGCCAACCAACTAGATAGACGGGGCTGGAGATGTAGAATCAGTTTGCCTTAGAAGTCTCGACTGACTGGATAGACAGAGATTCTCTTTGAGTCTGTTGATGGCTACTTATCCTATGTCTCAGTGGGTGAAGATTCTTTGATACTTTCTCCAAAAAGGTCACTTCATCAGCCTTCTCAAAGTGTTTTATGAAACTTAATAGAGATAATATCATTGGAAGAGTCATGGAGTCTTCAGTTAATGACATCGGGTTTCCTGTCCTGGAAATGGTGTCCTCCATGTATAAACACACGTCATAACAAAATCAAGAAACTAGCTGCCATCAAAGTCCGGCCACCATGCCCAACTGTTATTGGTGGCAACCCCTGATTCTACTTGCTGTCGCCAAATCCTCCCAACTCTCTCTCTCTCTCTCTCTCTCTCTCTCTCTCTGAATAATCTCATCCATGGGGGGACTATTCAATTAGCTTTCCTAAATTTTCAAATCAATCTCGAACTCATGGAAATAACCCCATCCTTCACTGCTCCTAAATCAATCAAATTGAAAATAATACGTTAGAGTACAATTAACGTAAAGCAATGATTTTTATCACTAAACTAGTAGATTGGGGCCATTGAGCCAATTTGATTAAAAAAACAATGATCTTTGATGGATTTTTTTTTTTTTAACAATTGGTATTATCTGCACTAAGTGAGAGGGGATGGGCTTAGCCACACATTGGACTAGCAATAATATGGTTCAAATTCTCCTTTGGCGAGAATGAAACTTAAGACCTCTCACTTACAAGTGAAAAAGAATACCACTAGACAGGCTAAATCTTAAGCCCAGTGAGAGAGGAAGCTTCAGCTGTGGGCCGACGACGAGTAAGGCCGGGGATGGCTGGCTTTTATGGGTGAGTAGGAGGGGTTAGGAGTTTGGTTTATGAGATTTTGTTTAAAATTTTATTTATTTATTTTTCAATTTAGTAAAGGTTAACAGAGTTAAGTTGGGGTTAAGGGATATGATACATACCCAAAAAATGAAGGAGGAGACACAATTTTAAGGCAAGCAAGTGAGAAATGTTCTATGCCTTGTAAAAAAATTGTAATGAGTAATTTGGTGATTTGGTTCCTGAATTGTTAGTTAAGTAAAAATTAAGTCCTTAGATTTTTTTTTTTTAAAAGAATTTTGAAATTCATTAAAAGTTGTCAATTTTCCTCATGCTCATATATTCGAAATTATTATATCCAATTATATGTCAAATTAAGCAGCATCATTTTCATGTGACGCATTTTGATGGATAGATTGATAGCTTATAATAAGTTTAAGAACTTATTTGACCGAAGAAAAAAAATTGGTAGAGGGTTTAACTTTGGAGAGAAACTTGGCAATTAGATTTAAAACTTATATGCAATGTTAAGGGTTTAGGATTGAGAAATGACGTTGTTACGATCTCTTAAGTGTGTCATGTGACAAAAATTTATGAAGGATTAGATGAAAAACGATAATGGTACGGTGCCCAACCGAAGATATTTGGTATGGTACTGATATTAACCAATATTGGCGGTATTACTCTATCGTATTGAATATATATATATATATATATATATATATATATATATATATATATATATTATGTATGTATAAAGAGAACTGTGATGAGCACTAAAAAAAAAATCTCGTTATGCATCATATAATTGTAATTTTTTTTTTCTAATTATAAAAAGTTTGGAGAGTAATATGAGATTTTTGGAATGCCCAAACAATTTCATATATAAATATAATACTAATTGTTAACTTTTATCTTTGATATATTTCATTAGTTTGCAACTTGAAAGTTTTACCTTTTATTTGATTTGGCTTGTAACCCTAACTTTTATTTTTAATCCTGGGTGCATGGTTTAATAATTGTGTGAAATAATGGTGAATTATGAATTTTGGTTGTAGGTTTAATGTTATATGTATATTAGATTATTTCAAAATAAAAGATGATATTAAGTTTCATCTTCATACATGGGCTACTTGCTTAGCAAAAACATGTTTTGGGCCTAAAAAAAATAGCCCAATACCAAATTGCTACAGTATAATTATAATACCATGTCAGCCGAATTTTACGGCATATTGAAATTCGGTACACAAAAAAATTAGTATAATTTGATATACTAAAAGTTTGGTATGATAATTGGTATGACGATTTGTGTACAGTAATCATACCGAATTAACAATGAGTATCTGTCAACTATTTACTATGTATTTTATTTTTCAGTCAAATTAGAAAGGGTCTTCTATTTTTTTTCTTTCTTTCTTTAAATTGTTGATTATTGGGTGCTTACCGAATTCACAATGAGTCTCCCTCAGTTGTTTGCTCTGTAATTTTTATATTTTTAGTTCAATTAGAAAGGGTCTTCTTTTTGGTTTTTTCTTTCTTTTAATTATTGATTATTAGGTTGCTTACCAAATTTTCAATGTGTCTCCCTCGACTGTTTACTCAGTAATTTATTTTTTTGGTCAATTAGAAAGGGTCTTTTTCTTTTCCCTTTCTTTTGATTGTTGATTATTAGGCTGGAGCGAACAGGTCTATGAGAGCGCGTGACTATTGTTGGTTGGGTTGATTTTGAGGGTCACGTAATCCACTTGTTGAAAATCAAAAGCACATAGGATGGTCTTTGACTCTTCAGACAATTTTGTGTATAAAAGTGAGGAAAGGCAGTGGTTTGACATCAAAACTCCTTCATACACAGATATACTTGAATACAAAGAGAGCAAAATTTCTCACCCTCCTCTCCTGCATATTCCTTCCTATACTCCTGCCATTTTTGGAAATAAATTAAACAAAATCTGTTGTTTATCTAATGGAGAACATGATGGGTCTGCTTAGTGTTCACCTCCAGAGAGGAGTGAACCTTGCTGTTAGAGACATGAGAAGCAGTGATCCTTACGTCGTTGTCAAAATGGGCAAGCAGGTATTCATTTGGCTAGCTTCCTTCATTTTACTACTTACTCTGTGTGTGTGTGTGCTTTTTTTTTTTTTTTCTAGTTTTGATGCATTTCTTGATCCATTTGGGATTCTGGGGTTTGGTCATATATGTCCTTGAAATTAAGGTTTTTGATGACATGTTAGAACAATGCGGGGTGGGAGGATTCAAACTTTGGTGCAGTGGATGTGAATCACGCTATTGTAGTCAACTTGACTAAACTCAGACATGAAAATAGTACAGCTTATTTAACCTAATTTTTTGATGATGCAGAAACTGAAAACTGGTGTGGTGAAGAGGAATGTGAATCCAGTATGGGATGAAACATTGACACTTTCTGTCACAGAAATAAATCTTCCCATCACGCTGTGTGTGTATGATAAAGACAGATTTAGTTTTGATGACAAAATGGGGGACGCAGAGTTTGAGATTGCACTATTTATCAAAGTCTTGAGGATGAGATTGGAAGGCCTCCCAGATGGAACCGTAATTACAAAAGTACAACCAAATAGGGAAAATTGCCTTGCTGAAGAGAGCTGCATTATCTGGTCTAAAGGAAAACTTGTCCAGAAAATGGCCCTCAGGCTCCGAAATGTGGAGTGTGGGGATGTTGAACTCCAACTGCAGTGGATTGATGTTCCTAGTTCTAGGGGTCTGTAGATTGTTGATTGCAATTGCATCCACTTTCTCTCCATGTATATTGTTGTATTTGGTGTCTGGCTAATTCAATTCTTTTGTTAATAAATATGTGAAGAGTAGAGTGAACGATGTATATGAGTTTTGCCCTCCCATGCATGTATTCGCATCAATCATTTGGGATGCGAGAAATGTTTGAACAGCTTCTTCTTTTTTTCAATCTTAATCAATCAAATACATTTATTTCATTTCATTTCTTATGTATACGCATGTGAAGTTGTTAATTCGAAAAATTGGATTCCACCATCTTACTAGTAAACAATTTGAGGTGGTGGGTGAAATAAGGAGAAATTTCATCTTACTAGAAAACATTTCAAGAAGAGATGTGGTAGCGATACAATGGCAGTGTTAGTGAATTATGAAAGATTTTATTGCAACTGTTTAGAAGAACATGCCTGAATAAGGTCTAGACTCTTCAAACCAAAATGAATCGTTTTCAAAATAAAGAGTCAACTTGGCCAATTTATAGGTCACACAATTAGTAGGACGAACATCAGAGACATGAGCGTTGAGTGTTCAATATTGCCAACCAATTAAGCAAGAGAATAAAATTTTGAGTTAAAACCAATGTGAGAAATATTAGGGTATCGGATTCCACTACCATTAATCAATAACACCCTAAGTACGAGCAGCAATCTAGAGTCAATCTACTATTTTCTCAAGAATTAACAATTAAGCACACATACATAACGCTTACGTTTGTAGTCTTTAATTTTTAGTATATCGATATTTTTACACTAAGGTGAGGGAGAATTCGGCTAAATCATACAATTGGCAGCCTAATTTGGTATTGAATTCGTCATCTACGAGATTTGAACCTAAAACCTCTCACTTCCAAGTGAAGAGAAATACCACCAGACCGTAATATTGAGTGGCGAGTAGTCTTACCAAAGCACCGTCTGAATCAAAGAAAATAAAGACAAACGGACCAAAGATAATTCTATAGGGAACTTTGTGAGATGCATATTATGTGGTAGGTTCAGGCCGCTGGAAGATTGATAGGCGTCAACCAATTATTCATTGTGCTAAGTTGTAGATGCAAAATTGGATTAAACAGCCAGCTTGTTCAATCAAATTGGGATTTCTTTCTGCCCTACTTTGGATTGACCAAATCAAGGAATGCAAAGGCTATCAAAATAGTGTCGAAATTAGGACATGTTTGCTTACAAAGAAGGGAAATTTAAATTATTTTGATTCTTCAAGTTCCATGCTATACTAAAATATAGGAATGAGAATTAGTTTACCTCTAAACGTTCACATGTGTTTATTACCTCATAAGAAATTGGATATGATGGCCGGGAAATCAACTCAATTTTAAATCTTCGTGCCTTTCCGGGTTGATTGACTTTCATGTGCTAACATTTGAGCGACGACTTTCGCTTGACGGAGTTTTATATTCATCAGGCAAATATTTGTGCGACGACTTTTGCCCGACTGATATTGCTAACGAATTTCAGTCGGGTAAAACATTATACTACCAAACCTTATTTGGCTCGACGAAATCCTTTCTTCTAGAATGTTTTTTTTTTAGTGTCCGGATATCGCTAGAAGAAATCGTGGACCTTTTTCTTTCGTGGCATGAACCATGGTTGCCTCAGATTGGTCATAAATTATTACTCCTCCTGCATATATACTTGATCTTTACTATTTTCTTACGTTTTGTTTGAGCTTCTCTAGACCATCATCGCATTTTTTTGTTTGTGGAACACAGATATCGATCTCTTTGGATTGATTTTGGGACCTGGATTGTTTGCCCTCCCCCATCCCATACATTTCCTATCCCCTTCTATTTATGTGATCATAATTAAACCACGTCAACATTTTATATTCTCATTGCTTTTTGTCTTATTATTTTTATAAAAAAATTTAATATAAAATGTTAACATGACTTATGACCACAAAAATAAAAAAGGATATGAAGGATATATGATGGGAAGGGCAGACAATTGAGTCCTTGATTTTGAACCTTGGATCAGACATTTAACTTGAAGTCTTAGGCCTTGCATGATTTCTTGGACCAATCACGTGGCCTTACCATTTTCGTAGTGAAATGTTGGACAATCTTGTCAACATTATTGGTCGCCTGGTCTGGGCGGTTTGGAATCATGGGCCGGCCAATTGGTCTGACAGTTTAGACTTCCTATTGTGGTACAAACATTAAAAATTGGACTTGGATTCTCTGCCCTCCCATTTCGGTGCCCTCTTCGTGCCCTCCTGTTTTGTGTGGTCACGGTTAATCCATGCTAACATTTTATATTGTTTTTTATAAAAATAATAAGACAAAAAAAAATAGTAATATAAAATATTGACGTGGCTTAACCGTGACCACACAAACAGGAAGGCACGAGGAGGGCACCGAATTGGGAGGGCAGAGAATCCAAGTCCTTAAAAATTTTGTTTCCCATTTATTGGCCGTACCGGGAAACCTAGAAGTTTGGTCCTCCTTTGTTTAGATGCGAAAGTGTGTCACCACGTGGTTTAATTTAATCGATGTAGAAAAAAGTGAGCGAATTGTGTTTGAATCTTGAATTTGACTTTCGATCAAATGATTAAACAATTGGGTAAAGAACCTATTCTCGACCTAGGTTCGTGCTCTACCTTGGAGACAAGGATTTGAACAAACAACCAAATGATGTGTGATGGTGATGGTGAGGATTGAGCAAGTCAATTGCATGAAAATAAAATAATCTAGACTAGGGCTACATTATGATAAGATAGGAATTGAAGAAAAATAGAACGGCAAGTTGTGTGTTTGATCGGAGATCTTTTGCTCCTCTGCAAACCTTATATTTATAGGGCTCAAATATGTACGGATAAATCCTAATGTGGTTATCCAAATACATTGCCCCGTGATCACTGATAGGAACATATTTATACAACTTAGTTAGCTTGTTTCTTAGCATTTACTTAGTTTAATTCTAGTTATTTTGGTACTTTAAGCTATTTTCATGTGTTTGTAGGTTAAAATAACAAAGTTGGCAACAAAGTTCTATTTGGAGCATTTTGGAGCATTTTTGGGCCAAGATTGGATAGTGCAAGCATGGAGACATGAGGATGGACGTTTTTTACGATTAGAAGGCTAGAAATCAGCAAGTGTGTTGACCTACAACTACAAACATCCACTCATTACCAAACACTCATCCACTACACCCATTACATCCACTCATTACCAAACATTCATCCGCTACACCCATTACACCCATTCATTACCAAACATCCATCCACTACACCCATTACATCCACTCATTACCAAACATTCATCCACTACACCCATTACATCCACTCATTACCAAACATCCATCCACTACACCCATTACATTCATTCATTACTAAACATTCACCCACTACACCCATTACATCCACTCATTACCAAACATTCACCCACTACACCCCTTACATCCACTCATTACCACAACATACACCACTACCACCTTAATTAGATGGTGGTCCTCTCCCTAGCCTATAAATACATCCATCCTTCACCATAAAAAGGGGAGAAAAAAGATCCATCAAAAGACACTACATTCACATCTCACAACTCCATACACTTACACTTTCATTCCTTGGCCGAGAGAACACAATCCACCCATCCACCCTTCACCATAACTCACCTATATCCATCCACCACCATAATTTACCACTCATCCATAAAACCACACCTTGTGCCGCAACAAAGAGAAGAAGGAGGACCCTTGGACATGCTTGACATTCAAGTTGGATTGTTGGAGCGTTTTTAGGTGTTTTCATTCTTTGTTTTCAATATCTAAATTTGTTTATCTTTGCTTTGTGAGTATGAGGAGCTAAACCCCCCTTAGCTAGGGGGGAATTCAAAGCCATGAACATACTTGCAATATGAATTGATTACCTTCAGTTGTGAATTCAATTTGTTTAACTGCTTGATTGATAACTTATTCGTGTATGTTTATTAAGCGTGCACACTTAGTTTGCATGCATGAATATGCTGCTAGAGTATAAGGGAGTTTAACCTAATAGTTACAAACTTATATTCACAAGTAGTGGAAGTCGCTTATAAACGATCGCGTTAAATGAATTCTTGGCAGGAGTTTCATGTTCATCATAGTAACGAATGCTTCGTCAATACTTATAGTTTTTCATAATGCTTAATGATCTTTGATTGTATCTTTATTATGCTGTTCACGTAAAGGACTTTTGAAGAATGCTTGAATTGTTGTATGCGCTTTCCCATCCAATTCAATAACTTAAGGAGAACTTAAAGGTTAATTTAAGCGGACTTAATTAACCTGAGGTGTTGAGTTTCATGATTTATCGAAAGAACAACTGGAAATTGGTTTATGTGCAAGTGTGTCATGTGTGGAGAAGAACCCTCTAGCTAGCCCATCATCCATAGTTTACCCAAATTCGTCCAAAATCTGTTTTAGTTTACAATCTGTTTGTTTTGTTTTTAAATTCGTCAAAATCAAATCCCCCTTTACTTTAAAGTGTTTTATTAGTCAAAATCTATTTTGATTTGTGTTTTTAAGTGTCTTGAGTCAAGTTAGAACCTAATTTCGTCCAAAACCATCCTTAGAGTCAGTTTAGAGTCTAATTCATTGTTTTAAGCAGTTTTGAGTCTTTTAAACTAGTTTTGAGTCTTTTAGTTTGTATTGCATCTTTTGAGTCTAGTTTGGTGTTTTAAACATAATTTTACGTTTTTAAGTCAGTTTCAAGTGTTTTAGCAATCCCTCCTAATCCCCGGCCTAGAACGATCCCTACTTACATTCTTTACTACAATTGACAACAAAAGGGTTTAATTTGTGTGTTAAAATAATTTTTGCATCAATCACGTCAATCAAGGGAAAGCTTCCTCAATTGATGATTGACATTGGCTAGCCTTGATTATGTCCATCACCTTAATACGCAATGAAAATGCTTTGAATCACTTAAATCATGGGCTTGTGATTTAATATGGTTTCTCTGTCACCTTTATTTGGGCTGCCAGATTAAAGCTTATTATCAATTAGAACAAAATTGTAAACTTAGGTACAAACAGGTTTATAACTTAATATCGTTTGTTCGAACAAAAGAAAAACAGGTTTCTTACTCAATTACATGGG